GGGAGAGAGAGGGGGGGAGGAAGAGAGAGAGAGAGAGAGAGAGAGAGAGAGAGAGAGAGAGAGAGAGAGAGAGAGAGAGAGAGAGAATAAAAAAGAAGAAAGAAGGACTGAAAAGCTTACAACAGCCACACACTATCACAACCTCCCCTCAAACAACACACATAAATCGACACGACTCCACTTTCCACGAAATGGGGAGTTCCTGTTAGAAGGCCGGCGGAGAAACTCGGAGTAAGTTGTTTGCTTTTGTGTGTTTTTGAAATGTCTGCCAATTTCGGAGCTGTCAAAGAGGTATAATAGTACTAGAGGTCGAAGCTGTGACGTCGCCCACGTAATAAATTCACTATGGCTGTGCGGGGCCTATTCAGCTCGCTTTGTCGCCATTTTAAAGAGGATTAGGAACAGCGCTGTCACGCTGCGCGTCCCTGGAACGTCTAGGTGTTCATAGGGTTTGAAGCTCAGTTCAGTTTTCTTTCAAGTTTTCTTTTTGTTTGTTGTTGTTTAATCATATAACATACGCACATAACTATACTGCACCTGCTGATCGATTGTGGGAAAAATAAACGCACTTAAATATGGGCTACAAATGAACAGAGAGATATAATATGAGGAATTGTATGCTTTTTTCCCGGGTAGGGTGGGGGAGGGGAGGAGGTAGACAAAGAGAGTAATTGAGTTTGTTAAGAAAAGGACAATTTCATACTTACAACATGGATTGCTTCTATGTCATGTTGTCTACACTCTCCTACTGATGCTAAGCCTGGGTCATCAAAGAGTATGAAGAGAGTTAAGACTGAGTTAATTATTTCACATATTAATTCGTTATTGTCTCAACATGAGCTATTAATTGTAGGCTGGGACACGGTAAATCACTCATGGTATGGATCCTGTGCGCACACCCAAAGAGCGTTGTTTAAAATCGGGCCCAAATAATGATATACTGACAATATTTTAAAATGCAGCACTAGCCGGTTTATCTTAAACGTTAACAATATTATTTTCTAAAATTTGTGTTGATTGGCAATGGTTTTTGGCTACACAGCACTCCATCTTCCATGAATCCCTGCTGCTGCTGTTGCACATACTGTTTGGCATCGGTTCCGCAAAGGAGACAGATTACTACACCTGTCTTATCGGTGGGTAGTTACGCCTGGTTAGCTACTTAATATTCTCTCATCTCAACAAAATGGACAGTGGTTCTTTTCCGTCCAGCCAGCCTTGAAGGTGTGCTTGAGTTGCAGCTGGAGCTTCTAGCAGCTTCTCAGTCACATTCCTGATTCCAGAAGGCAGATATGAACGCCTTGTTGTGGTCAGCGGTGCTAAATATAGACATACTGTTTGAGCGACACACAGCAAAAGACTTCAATAAAATTATGCTTTTTTATTTTAACTGTAGATTATCTAGTCCATCTCATTAATTTTTTTCTGATTTTACTCTCCCGTATGGTCACACAGTGTAAAAGTAAAAGGCTTTATTTGCTTTATTGGGAGATTATCTGGCTCAATTAAAGATAAACAATCACAAAAATCTGTTTGAGTACATTTTAGCGATAGGCAAATGACATGAAAAAGAAATCAATATCAAAAGACTTCGATGAGTATCATTAACCCGTGATTGAAAAGTGTTGCTGTGCACCACAGAATTCTACACTAAGTCTAGAATTCTGTGCTGTGCACCGACTGGCCTTTTATTCCTCTCCGGAATGGCGGCGCGCCTCTCACGTTTGACACTCGTGACGTCACAGCTAAAACTTCTAGTTCTATTTATAATCTCTTTTGGGGCTGTTGACAAACTTGGTATATCTGACGTGTTGGGACAGTCTTACTGTGTCTTGGGACGTATTGGTCTTATACACGTCTCAGAGATTAGACCGAGACATTAAAATTTCCATTTGGAGATTCCAACCAGGAGGAGCAGAACATTTTTTGTAAAATTACCGACATCTTTACGAATCCAAGATGGTAAGTTTTTCTCTTAATTAAAAGTCCCATTACCTAGTTTTAATACACGGCGATTCAAATGGAGCAAATCAAATTCTTTCTTAATTTATCTATAAAATGTCGGACATTGGGCGTTGGCTACAATAGAGATAATGTTGTATGATTGGTTGAATGATAGGGGAAATACTTGCTGGTTGTAGCCCTCAGAGGCAGTTACGAAGTTTTCCTGCTTTACAATTTACAGTATCTTGTGACAACCCTTTCATAACTTATTGAGGTTCATTCAGTTGAATCACTTCAAATATACAAGACTGAGACACACAATATGTGAGGCATCGTAGTAAAATCAGGCGCTCTTTAAAATAATGAAATCAAAGAAATCTGAATTTTTTTGGACGATGGGCAATCTTTTTTTTTTTTTTTAGCTCAACATCCTTTGTGTTGATTTTCTTGAGAATTTTCCTGATAAACATTGATCAAAGACACTAAAAAATGTAAATCTTCTGTTTCCAAGGACTCCCAGGCATTGAAAGTTACCAAACTTTGGCGGCCATTTTCTTGCTAATTTTACCCCTGAAACCAGGCGACCCTAACATCCTTCAATCGCAAATATTTTGACTTCTATACGACATAGATTGCTATTTTTTTCGCCAAAAGGAAGGCAAATTAACAGGCTTAAAGATCATACCAATAGCTCAACATGCCCAAAATTGACGAGGGCCTGTTTCCACCACGTCATGACACACAAAGGGATATGTTACTTTTACCATAAATCTCACCAGCAGAGGTTACGAGTGGGCTGCGACAGTTCTAGTTCATTTTCTCTCAAACATTAAGGAATAGATCTCAGTGTCAGTGTGGGGAGTTTTTTAAATAGTGTAACCTGCACAATACATACATGCATGCAAGCAAACAAGCAAGCATGCACGCATGCATACATACATGCATACATACATACACACATACACACATACACACATACACACATACATACATACATACATACATACATACATACATACATACATACATACATACAGACATACATTCATACAGACATACATACATACAGACATACATACAGACAGACATACATACAGACATACATACATACAGACATACATACATACATACATACATACATACATACATACATACACTCGTACATGCACATATACACTCACATACATCACACATACACTCACATACACACACATTCACACACATACATGCATACACACTGACATATGTACACACAAATTCATACACACATGCACAGGTATACACACATGTACACGTACACACGTACATACAAATACACACATACGCATACATACATACACACTTACGCATACATACATACATACATACACACATACATACAAATACACTCATACGCATGCATACTTACACATACACACACATACACATATACGTTCATACACACGTACATATATACTCACATTCACATACATGCACACGCATACACACCCTCACATACATACACACACATATACACACATACACATAAACATAATTGATTAATGGACAGTCCCTTTGCCTTTTTGTATGAGCATTTTTTTATTGTCTGAAAGAATGTTGTCAAAAAGTGCGCACATTATGAATTTGTATGGTGTTAGTATGAATGCGTTTTTAATCTCATATGTACGCATTGGGCCCATGTTGTGGGGAAAGGCGGGATACAAATGCTCTTATTATTATTATTATTATTATACACACATAAAGACAGACAGATAGACAGACAGACAGACAGACAGACAGACAGACAGACAGGCGTATGCCAGCTCCAAAATGCGGGGTAATAAACTGATATGTTGTCTCTGCTTATTCCAGACTGGCAAAAAGGACCGCAAGGCATCTACGACTTCTTCTTCTGGTACGACTATTGAGAATGTCAACATTTCACTGGATGGAACGGCTGCTGTTACAGCGGCCGTAATTTCAGCGGGAACAGCAGCAGCTGGCTTTTTGGCCCGATATTGGTCAGGCGACAACTTAAATCGAGCACCCGAAACAGACGACAACAAAAACAGCCAACATGAAGAAAAATCCAGAAAGAAGTGGAAACGATTTTGTTGTTGTTGTTGTTGTTTTTGTTGAGGCCATAATTTTGAGTTAAAAAACACTATTTTGTGTGGTTGGTTATTTTTTGTCAGACGACAACCAGAACCACTACAGCAACGGCACCCAAAGCTCCAGTAAGAATTCCGAATGAACATCCTTCCCATTTCCTTGTGGCTGTGATCATAACAGAAATTTGATGAAATAAAATCCAATATTTTGTGTTGTCATTTGATTGAGCACGGCTGTTCAACTCGCCCGGAAACCGCTCCTTTAGTTGCTCCGTACCAGCGGTCAGTGCCACCCATGTGTTGGTCATTAAATCAGTGGTCAGCCGTGCTCACTACCGTGACGCCAGTGGCGCGCCCCCGCCTGCCAGCGTAATGCATTCCCTCCAAATTATGGTGGCATTCCTACCCTGGTATCTCCAAATCTAAAGATGTGATATCACCATATGACTCACCATTTTAAAGCCCAGTTTTCCCCCTACAAAACGATATAACTTTGGTTGATCTCAGTTCACAACCTTGAATTTATCGAGCTACGTTCTCCAAGACGTGTTTCTATCAAATCGGATTCCTTTTTCAGTGTTATTTGAATTTAAACGCCAATAACTTCGTAAAGGCACCACCACTTTCATTTCTTTTTTTCAAAATCTAGTTGGGAAGGTATACTGTACAAAATGTGCAAGTTTCAGCCTTGTGTCGTTTTTAAAATATTTTAAATTGATTTTTTAAACATTATATAGACTTTCTCCTAGACGTGTTTTTATCGAATCGGATTCGTTTTTTCAGTGTTATTTGAATTTTAAACGACAGTAACTTTGTAAACTCACCATCAGTTTCAATTCTTTTTTCGGAATCTAGTAGGGATATGTATACTGTACAAATTGTGCAAGGTTAAAATTTGTGTCGTTTTTCTGTGATTTTTGATCAATTAAAAAAAAACAAACATAGATCTAGACGTTCCCCAAGATGTGTTTCTATCGAGTCGGATCTTTTTTCAGTGTTATTTGAATTTAAACGCCAATAACTTCGTAAATTCACCATCAGTTTCAATTCTTTTTATAAATCAAGATCTAGTAGGGAGAGGTATATATATATATACCAATGGTGTAAGTTTCAACTTGGTGTCGTTTTTCTGTGACTTTTTTCTTCTTTAATATGATATGGACGTCTTTTTTTCAGTGTTCACAAGCTTTTTTTGTGTGCGTTTTGTTTAAAATCTAGATCTAGCATCTCTAAAAATGTAATAACAATTATATAATGTGTTTACCAATATTGTGACAGTAGGCTTAAATGCAGTTATAAGTGCTGACACCCTGACTGGTGATAACCGCGATCCTAGAGTGATACGTTTTTATCAAGAGTCGTCACATGTGACAGCTGGACTTGGGGAACTGGGGACATATAGAGAAAACCTGTGAATCTCCACTCAAGACTTAATATCTTTGCTTTAGGCAACGACACACAGATGCAGCCAAGTGATTTTGAAACTGTACTCAATTTCTGACCCAATATCTTAGAATTGTCAAAATTGACCCCAGCTATCATGTTCAAATTTAATGAAATAAATCATGACCCTCTATCAATGTTTAAACATGTATCCACTTTTCTTTCTTCGTCGTCTCGTATTTCTTCATCTTAATTAGTTGCATGGTTGCTCTAAGAAATATGTCAGATGATGCTTATTTAAAGTATACGGTTTTATGCACAGTTGGTGTTGTAGCTTGGGCTTAGTCTGAGGTTAAACAAAGCTGAAAACAGCTGCAATAACTTTTTCATCGCGAACCTGTCAGTCAGGTAAAATTCCCTACGCTGACCTCTTGACCCGTTGGCAATGGCTGGTTCGAGTTACGCAAAGCGTCGGGGCGCAGCGGGGTACCGGTAGAAATACATGTAAAGAACTGAACAGCCGTGTGAGGGACGTATTTTGATTTTGAAAAATGTTTGGATTTTATTATTTACGTCTGTCTCTATTTTGCCCAGGAACCTCAAATCACTATTATACATTTACAAACAGAATTGTGTGTGCGTGTGTGTGTGTGTGTGTGTGTGTGTGTGTACGTGTTTGTGTGTACGTGTGTGTGTGTGTACGTGTGTGTGTGTACGTGTGTTTGTACGTGTGTGTGTGTGTGTGTGTACGTGTGTGTGTTGTTGTTGGTTTGATTGTTAATGTACGAAGGAGGAAAATAGCAAAGAGAAAACACCAGCTTTCCCAAAAATTAGCCTTGACAATTGTCGTCCATACAGAAACGGTATCTTAGTTCCCCACTACACTTTTCAAAAGAGGTTCTTTATGATTTGAGAATTTGAGCAAGTTTGTACATTGCTCGTGGCTTGCGGGTCTTATTGTTTTTTAACTTTAAAGTGTCGGCGAATCAGCATATTTGGTCGTGCTGGTCTTTGAAAAGGCTTCTCACAGAACAGGGTTGTCATCATCAGGGGCTTAGGAAGATGAAAGCTTGTTATCAGTCAAAATACAACCAAATACCTACATACATGAAGCACTACAAACTTTTGGATTTGTTGGGGGTGGGGGGTGGGGTGGGGGGGATGATAGGATTTAATCTACTCAGCTACTGGTTTTAAGAATACAAATGTAATATTGTTGATATTTATGTTCTCTTTTTCAACCTAACAATGTTGGAAAGGTCGTTAAGCCTACACTTAGTTCAGTCTCAATAACTAAGATACGAGATAAGATAAGTCAATATTTCATTGTCCAAGAGGGAACTTCTTGGCTGCCAGGGCTGTAAAAACACTTGCAGGTATACCTTTAAATTTTAATTATATATTATTACTCGCATTAAAATTCAATATGAAAAGTAAAGTTGGCAAATGTACATATCACATCAGCGTATCATTCAATCACATGCAGGAATTTCATTACAAGACTTTTAGAGTTACATAAATATACATACTGGAAAAAGCAACTCATCTTGATGTTTATTCGGACAGTAGCCTCACACTAGATGATACCCCATCCCCCCCAAGTTTTTTTTGTATCTCTCCTTCTTTTTAGAGGTACATAACATTTTCCGCTGCGTGATCTTACAATTTGTGTGGAAAAAAGGAGTGATGGGTTGTTTGTAATGCTGTTTATCTTTTTATACTTGTGATTCTTAAACATTATTTCATTAATTCTAGTAAAATGAAATCCAGAGATCTTGCTGGCTTCCTCAATGGCTTTGTCAAACCAGAATGTACTGAGGAAAGAAACAACAACTTTGCCAGTCACCAGGAGAATGATGTGTCACTGGGGGACATGGTGAATAAACCATTCTTTGGAAAGCGTCGGTTTGAGTTTCTTGTTTTTTTTGGTTGTGCTTGTTTCTGTTTTGTTTTCTTTTGTTGTTGTTGTTGTTGGGTTTTTTTTTTGGTAAGTGTTTTACGGCGCTCGCAACTGCATAATGTCATAAGAGCGCGCGGGACACAGTAAACGTTTTCTGTTGGTAGGAAAATTAATTGAATTCTGGGTGGCGGCCAAAGCCTACTCTTATCGATTTTGGATCACCAAGGAATCTTTAGTGTGCGCAACTTGCACACGGAGAGCTCCGAGATTGTTCGCCCTTATCCGAGATGGCTAGGTGTAGATCTTTCCTCCTACCATAAGATCAGGGGTGTGGCTGAATGACAGCAGTAAGAAGGAGCCAAGGAGAAGCAGTGGAAAGGCTGCAGAAAGAGTCAGGAGCCCAGAGGAGGGGGGCAAAGATGGTGAGGAGGTGGAGACAGAAAGTGGAAGCGAAAGCAGACGATAGAAACATTGTTATAGAGCAGGAAAGGATGTGAAATAAGAAAATTTAGAGAAAAAAAAAGTTTCTGTCGCAATCCGGATTTGATCCCATGACCTATTGAATGAGAGGCGAACACATTAACCTCTAGAGACCACGAGAGCTACCTTTGTGCTTGTTTGAGAAGCATGGACACAATTACGGTTATTTAACGATTGGTGGTGAGAGAAAGACAAACGGACAGAGGCAAGAGAGGTGAGGAAAAGATGCTGGACCTAACTACAAGTATCGCTCTTCAACCACTCTGTCTTTCTGTCTGTCTATATGTCTGTCTGTCTGTCTGCCTGTCTGTCTGTCTGTCTGTCTGTCTGTCTGTTTCTTGTCTGTCTGACTGTCTGTCTGTTTGTTTTCTGTCTGTCTTTGTTTCTGCCTGCCTGTCTGTCAGTTTGTCTATCTCAACTGGCGTCTGCGTTGTAGCATTTAGGCGCTTTGCAATCGCACTCAGGAGACCCAAGTTCGATTCCCGAGTGTGGAGAATTTTTGTTGAGTGTCTCGCCTTTCTGCTGGAATGTTGAATAATAATAATAATAATAATAATAATAATAATAATAATAATAATAATAATAATAATAATAATAATAAAATTAATAATAATAATAATAATAATAATAATAATAATAATAACAATAATAATAATAATAATAATTGCATTTATATAGCGCATATCTATGCTCAAGAGCATGCACTATGCGCTTTACAATTATTATTACCCCAGCTGATTCTCTGAGAACACTCAGAAACATTCTCGGCTTCCGCCGCGGAAGCATACAGTGCAAGCTGCGGAGTTCACGCTCTCAAACACTATTCAAACTGACAAGATCGTTCACTGTCTATAGCCAGGTACTCATTTCCACGTGTGTGAAGTGAGGATACTTTGTGCAAAGAGCCTTTCCCAAGGACACAACGTTGGGCCCCTGACGGGATTCGAACCCACGACCTTACAGTTGCGAGTCCCAGAGCTTAACCACTAGGCCACCGACGCCACGGGTTGACTATGACACGCAGGGTAGGAATCCAGCTCTTACTGGAAGTAAATTGTGTCGATTTTTAATTAATTGATTAATTAATCAATTAAGTAATTAACTAATTAGTCAATTAATTCATTTTTTGATGGGGGCGAGGGTGCGTAAAAATACCTATAATGAAAAAAGGTATGTTTCTTCTTACCTGTCTGCCTGTCTGCTTGTCTGTCTGTCTGTCTGTCTGTCTGTCTGTCTGTCTGTCTGTCTGTCTGTCTGTTTGTCTGTCTGTCTGTCTGTCTGCCTGTCTGTCTATCTGTCTAGTCTGTCAGTCTCCACACATTCACACTCACGCAGACATACACACACACACAAACACACACACACACACACACACACACACACACACACACATACACACATACACACACATAGCCACACATAGACAGAAACACACGCACTATATCATTATATGGTCGTTTTTAGTTTATGGACAAGCGGGCTAACCCAGATTTCGGGGGTTTCCAGAAATCTAGACCTGCACCAAAAGTGGGCATTGCCCTAACCAATGATAGTACATAACAAGATGGGCCACTTCTCTCTTTGAGCCAATTAAAAAAAGTGTCCTCAAAATTTGGTGGCGCCCTCTTCACAAAAGCGCACTCTTTGCGAACAGAGTTACCTTACTTGAGTTTAAAAAAATCAAAGTGAAACTAGCAAGTTTTGGGATAAATTTCGGAAGAACGCTTTTTTAAAAATGGTTACGCTGACAAAAAACCTCTTCCGGAGGAAAGGGTGATGGTTTTCTTTGTTTAATTTGACTTTAGAGTGAAAGGCGAGAGGTCATTAAAATGATAAAAAACTAAAACTCCGCACTGAACGTACCCGAACTGCTGATGAACAGCAGTCGCTCTGCGCACGCAAGGAGGTGCTATTCCTATTCTTTTTCTGGAAAAACGAAAGAGAGCTTCAAAACAGACTGCAGCGCCATCTGAAGCAAAGAGCATACTTCCTGTGGACACTTTTTTGGCTGAGTGGCCCATCTTGTTATGTACTATCATTGCCCTAACTAGAGGAGAAGTTTGGTTTCAATGCTGTGTATAATACTATTTGTTCGGTCATAGAGGAAACTCTCCAAACCATACCTTCGATTTTCTCAAAACAGCATTTTCCGGGATAGCCCCCTTGTGCTTAAAAGCGACCATATATTATACTATCTCTGAGCGTCTATGCCTCTATGTCACCACCACCTACTTCGGGTGACATGGCCCTCTCTCTCTCTCTTTCAATCTAACCCCCCCCCTCTCTCTCTCTCTCTCTTTGTCCCCCTCTCTTCAGTTCTCTTCCTCTGTCACTTTCGATGTATGTATGTATGTATGTATGTATGTATGTATGTATGTATGTATGTATGTATGTATGTATGTATGTATGTATGTATGTATGTATGTATGTATGTATGTATGTATGTATGTATGTATGTATGTATGTATGTATGTATGTATGTATGTATGTATGTATGTATGTATGTATGTATGTATGTATGTATGTATGTATGTATGTATGTATGTATGTATGTATGTATGTATGTATGTATGTATGTATGTATGTATGTATGT